AAGCTCCAGTAGATGGAGTTCGATCTGAATAATGAACCTGTCCAACCCGACATTAAGATTAATCTGAACCAACTGAATCAATAAGTGGAGATGGAGTTCGACCTGAACGAACCTGCCGACCCCAACACGTAGATTAATTTCAACGATGATGAGTGAAGGAGAGGAGCAGGAGACAGATCTGTACCTCTAGGTCAGTGTCTTTGTTAAATTTTATTTGGTTCATCACCTTGCACAGCTACCCTACGCCTAGAGAGATGGTCCATTGTCGCAACCCTATTAAGAAATAGTCTCCACGCAAAAATACTCATCACCTTCCATAAAGTATTTACCCCACACCATCCTCCGTACACATAATTCCACTAAAAGTCTTGATCATAATTAATAAAAAGTAATGAAAATGAATATCCCTCTTCAGAACGTCAATTTCATTTTATGCTACCTTCCATTTGTGGTCACAATATACTTTTATATACATGGTGATTCAATCACGCATTACAACATTCATATTAATACCAAACATGTTAAGAAAAACATAGAAAGATGAATCTATTGTATTGTACTAATTAAAAGAGGCATATACTCTCTCATTTTCCATCAATTAATCTCTTATGTTGCTTCTAGAACGAAAAGAGTGACGTGAGTAAAATTGGGACCATTAAATCTACTATCATTCTCCAACATCATGAGTGAGGTGAATAAAATTGGGAACATTAAATCTACTATCTACTATCATTCTCCAACATCATCATGAGTGACGTGAGTAAAATTGGAAGTATTAAATCTACTATCATTCTCCAACAACATGGATGTGACGTTAGTCTCACCTACTAGCTTATCCGAATTCTTCATCGATTGGTTACACAGGTAGTGGGACCCTCGATCAAACAGAAGATTGCTGTACCAGATGTCAATAAAAGTCAAAAAAAAAAAAACCAGCAAGTGTTTGCTTTTGCAATCTTATGATTTCCATTTATTTGTTACTCGAGAATTCTCACCATAAATTCACATCTTCATTGCTCAGAGTAGCCTGCTTCTCCTTCTCCACAACTTCATAGCTTACCAAGGTTCCTTTTTTTCTTTTTATTTTTTTCCTGAGCTTAACAAATGGCTTTGGTTTCAACTCAGAAACTGCCCATGTATTCCACTTCTACTCGTGCAAAGCTCACCTTACCCCAAGCTGTGTTCGGGCAGATGCCTGTGCTTTTTCCACCAACATTACAAATTGCTAGAAGGGCAGAATTGACTATGTTTAATTTCCAAGGCCCTAATGTGGCTAAATTTGTAGTTACCGCATCACTTCAAAGACAAGGGGAAAATGGTGAGAGGGTGGTTCTCTTGGAAAGTGGGTGGAAGCCTGTGGTTAGGGAGCTTGGATTGAGAAAAGGAGACACGGTGAGGATTCGTCTCTTGGACAACATGGCGTGGACTTATTCCATTGAAGTGGAAAGGGCGGCCTACCAACCGAATCAACCGGCGGTGAGGATGGCGTTCGACCTGAACGAGCTTCCCGCGGCCAACATGGAGATCAATCTCAACGATGAAGAGTGAAGAGGGGAGTAGGAGACTGATCTGAGTGTTACGTTAGTGTCATACCCATCCACGAATATGCATTCAATTTCTTTGCTTGTCCCTCTTTTTTTTTTCTTTTTTTTTCTTTTTTTGGTTTTTTTGTTGGAATTTTTTTTTTTTTGGGTACTCGTGTGGTTTAGAGTTGTTAAGATGGATTTGATTTTAGTTGTTGGGTTGCAAGTGGATGGCTTACTGTTTGTCCTATTGTCCTAGTTTGTTTCATACATTTGAGTTTATGAATAAAACTATCTATATATAAATCGCGATTAGTTTTTCCTTAATTTAATTCAAGAGATGTTTTAGTAGTAGAATATAGATTAGATGGACTTTTTCGTCACGTGAAATTAATTGATTGATTGATTGTTCAATGACATGAAGGTGTTTAAAGTAAGTTGAATTAATTATTAGTATATAGTTTTTCCAACCGACTACAACGCACGCATTTGAGCACTAACTGTTGACCGAGAATTTCTCAGGCAGTCGCCCGTGAAAAAAAGTTCCGGTGAGATGACACCGGGAGAGTATCGAGTTCCACGGATCTAATGGAGGAATTAATGGCGGCCGGGAAGTACAGGTTCCGAACAAAAAGGGAGTTCGTTGGCTTTCCAAGAGACACGTGATTGAGTTTTTTTTATTTTTTATTTTTATTTTTTATTTTTATTTTTTATGGTGGCTTCTTTTTCCTTTTCCCGGGAGAACGATTCTTTTATGCCATAATGTTTTGGCTCTTCGGGGTTTCCCTTTTCTTCTCTCTGAGAGGGTTCTTTTCTTTCGTCGTCAGTCATGGCTCTGCCGTGTAATCTCACTTCATTCTTTGCGATTTTCCCTTTGATTTCTATTCCATTTAGTGCAGTTTTTGTTCAATTTTCGAAAATCCCAAAAACATTTTTGCTTTTTTTTTTTTTCTTCCCTTGCATCAAACCCTAATGTAGATCGGGGGTTTTTTGGTCTGAATACAACGAGAGAGTCTTTCCAGCTCTAGATCTGTGGCTTTTGGTCTGAATACAACGAGAGAGTCTTTCTGCTCTAGATCTGGGGACTGCCTAATAAAGATAAGGATTCGAATGCTTCAGTCGGAAGGATCTGCGCCTTAATTCGTCGATAATGGTTTGGTTACTGGTGAATCGAAGGATTTACGCTCGGTCTCTAATGCCGGAATTTCCATCTAATAGATCCAGCCAGGTTTATGGGGTAGCCAAGAAGATCAAATCCTTCCTGGGCACTGGTTTGGAGGCAGGTGACTCGTTGGAGGTATGCTTGGTTACCAATTTTATTTATTTAATTAAAACTTAATTTAAAACTTAAAAATTTAAATTATTAAATATTAATGTTTAAATTTAAAAATTAATTATATATTTTAATATAATTAATTCTTAAATTTAAATATTTAAGATATGGGGGTGGATATGTGCTTATTTTATATATATACATACACATGCACAAGATGACAGGTAAAAGAAAGTGGAGTAGATTAGTTATGGGTAATTGGGTAGGGGGCTCTTTTTTTTTTTCTTTTTTCTTTTTTCTTTTTCTTACATTTGGAGACCCAAATGTGGCCTTTTTTTTCTTCTAAATTTTCCGTGCTCAAGTGTGGCCTTTTCCCTTCTAAAGAGCTGGTTTCAGAACTTACAGGGGCAAAAAAAAATTTGTGCATCCTAAAGTGTAAATTTTTTAAAGTTCACTCACCCCCCTCTCTCCACCCGTGTGTTCCTATTTTCAAAATTCTGGTGAAGCACTTAAGGCCTCTGTGATATGGAGGAATTGATGTTCATGGTTGCTGATTTCAATTTTTTATGTTAATTCTGAGGTTAATGGTACAATGGCAATGGCTTTTTTAGGTTTTGGTGGCTGTTATGACGATAAGATTGCCCCTTAGATGAAAATGGCCAGTGGTAGGGTCCCACCTTGTTATAGGGTTCAAATGATATATCTAGTTAAGTATGATCCATGTCTGTTTTTGTTTCTACCTCGTTTACTAATTGAACAAAAAGGGAAAAAAAAGAGTAGAGAATAAGGCTGGCAGTAGTCTTCTGAGTGACCACTGCTAAAACCAGTGTGTTCATTATCCTCTGAAAAGTCAAACCCTAAATCCCCATGCAAAGTTATAATGATACTAATATTTGTATGTCGTCTTGCATCAGCTGATTTCAGGATAAACATGCACACTTTGTCATCAATGTTTTAACTTGTTTTGTTGCTTTACTCGATGACCTCCTAACATGTCTACTACATGTCAAATGGCTATCAGGAATTCAAACTAAATCCTAACGCAAGGAGTTTCACCCCATCACAAACAACTGTTAGGCCTCCATCACCAGTATAAGATGGTTCCTTCTATTATCCACCCAGTGTGTCACCTGTAACACATATGCATGGCATGTCTGTTGGTTTTGGGGTAAGTGTTTCTATACAAGTATACAACTAGATTGTCACAACAAATTTTTTTTCCCCTCATATTTTTTATTGGATATATAATTCTGTCAGTCTGTCAGTCATGCTTGTCGATTGGGCTTTTATTTAATTTAAAAATGTTTTCCTGATAATTTCAGAAAATCATCTTTTTTGAGGTACACTTTGATGGTGACATTTTAGATCAATTGCTGCTGCTTTCTTGTGTGACAGTTGTTCTCAGTATTGATGGTTTCTTGCGTACATTTCTTTCTCCCTCTTGGATTATCACACACAGTAGCACACCTTACTGCATTTGATACTATTTTAAGTGGCATTCATGCTGTGTCTTTTGCAAGTTCGCCGCCTACCTTTGTTGCTGTGATTCTATAATGGGTCCTGTTTGCCCCTCTAGACTACCCTACTGTACCGATGAACTAAGCACACAATGAAATATAGGATGCCCTATTGCTCTTCCATTTACATTTAATAATATAGTTAAATGTCTGTCTGAGGGGTCCAAATGAGGTCGATTAGACCCTTTTTAACTGAATTTTCTATGTGAAGTTGATAAGACTTTGGGTGAAAAGTTGCTGGCTCAATCCATATTTGTCTCAGGACTCATTTCAGACTGAACTAATTTTCTGGGCTAATAGAATAGCCAGTCCAATCTGTTTATTTCCAATGGTTTAGGAGGCTTAGGCACCCTTCCAGATAGACTTAAATAGATCAGTTTGATACATGGTATGCATTATGGTTTTGGAGGTTCAAGCTTGACTCTGCAATATTTATATGATAGTGTATCGTGATAATACAGTAAAGCCATTGGTGTATGTTCTTAAATACGAGATTTTATTTTGTTCCCATAAAATTAGTTGCATTATCTGGAGTCTTGTTCTTTTATTTCTAGTTGCTTATGATTACTGGTGATGCATGGTATTTGCAGATTGGACCATCATTTGGTGCACACCAGCCTGTTATATTTAATCTGACGGTGGCACCAATGCAGTCACCACAAGCATACTTTAATCCAAATGGGGCTCAGGTAGAATCTGATTGCTGACTTTGCTATCATTATTTGGGTATCTTTGCCTGTGTTAATTATCTGCGCTCTTCTAATTCCAGTATGGGCAGCAGCAAATGTTTCTTGGGAAGTCTGGGCAAGTTGTGTGCATGCCAAGCTACCAACCTGTAAGTGTTTTGACATTGCATTGAATTTGTGAATAAGCTTGTTTGTTCATTTTCGACTTGGTATTTCTAAATCTTTTATCTGTCACAATACTTGGAGAGAACTCCTATTTTTTCTTGTAGTAAATGACAATTTCTAAACAAGTCTTTCTGTAAATGTAAAATGTTCTTTTTCTCAAGTGTGAATTTTACTTCTAGGTTTTGGGGGAGAGGGAAAAAGTTGTTTTCTAGCGTTGTTGGAGAGTTACTTTTTGTTTTTACAAATAGAAAATCGTGCATCTTAGGGTTCCCATGGACTTGAAACTGTTGTTGGAGGAAATGTCATACAAAGGACGGGATTATTAGCCAGTTAGTTTGCTTACTTCATTCAGTTGTGATCCATTCTGCTCATAAAGAATAAACATCTGAGAGTCTGCTTGGATCAATTTTCTCAAAATAAAGCCAGGCAGCCCATTAAAAATCTTATAGTTACTCAACCCCTTATGTTCTGAGTGATTGTTTTACACATCCTCAGAGATAATTTCATTACCTCATATGCTTCATTACACCATGTCCATATCAACTTCCATCGTCTAGTATCAGCTGATTTCAGGATAAACATGCACACTTTGTCATCAATGTTTTAACTTGCTTTGTTGCTTTACTCGATGACCTCCTAACATGTCTACTACATGTTAAATGGCTATCAGGAATTCAAACTCAATCCTAATGCAAAGGGTTTCACCCCATCACAAACAACCGTTAGGCCTCCATCACCAGTATCAGATGGTTCCTTCTATTAACCACCCAGCGTGTCTCCTGTAGCGCGTATGCATGGCATGCCTGTTGATTTTGGGGTAAGTGTTTCTATACAAGTATACAACTAGGTTGTCACAACTCACAACACTTTTTTTCTCCCTCATATTTTTTATTGGATATATAATTCTGTCAGTCTGTCAGCCATGCTTGTGGATTGGGCTTT